CATAAAAAATAAGGTACACACATGTATGCAAACCATTAAGTGAAAAAGTGATGAATTAATTAAAAAAACGGTGTCAAATGCAGCATTCAAGGTATAGTTTTAAATTTGGGGAAAAATGGTTGTTACCATAATTTTTTAAATGTCTTAAAGTGTAGGAAGAAAATTTGAAACATCAAAAATTAATGAAAATTAAGCTGTAAAAAATTAAGTCAAAAAATGGGGCTAATTTCAGTATTAAAAATGAACTGTAGAGTTTTAAAAAAATCGGATTGCACCATTAAATTCTACGCACATTAAAACCTAGGAAATAATTTTAAAATTTCAAAAAAGGCTAAAAAATAAGGTACAAACATGTTTGCAAACAATTAATTGAGAAATGAGTGAAAAAAAATAATTAATAATCAAAATTCATTTTTATTGAAAATGGTTTTTACCATTAAATTCTATGCGCTTTGAAACCGAGGAAACAATTTTAAAAATTCAAAAAAACTCAAAAAATAAGCGGTAAAAAATTAATTAAAAAAGCGGGTTTAAAAGCGGAATGCGCGTGTGCTGCGCGGAGCAGAAACCGCGTCAAAACGCGGAAAATGCGGGTTTTTTTATTAAGGCCCTAATTATATATGAAATAAATTATCAAGGGAAAAATGACTGTGATTTGAGAATAATAGGCTTTAGCATGACTATTTGATATTATCACCTGCTTTCTTTAATTTATATTTACTATTTTAATATTTTTTAATATATCTTTTATGTTTTATGGGATTGATTGGTCTTAACACAGCGCCATGATGGGCTGTTTAGGAACCCGCGCCATTGAGGATAGTGGGTAAGAAGTAGAATTTCTGCTTGCACTTTGGTGGCTAGTTGATGCCTTGGGTAAGTCAGTCTCAAATATTTGATCCTCTGGCAGCCCGAAATCCAGCGCTCTGCATACCTCATTGCGGATGTGGTCTACAACAAATGACTTGATCCCATGTTTTGAATTGTTTCCATCTGCCCAACGCCTGCTCAAAAGATATCAGCTTGAAGAATCTACATCTTAATCAAAAAATGACTCACCCCTCATCCAAGTCAATAATTTGAGGATCGGTGAGAATTGGCCCAACACCTTGCAAGTCACAGATGAGACTTTTCCCATTGGAATTAACGTAGTACCAATGCATAAAAGCATTCATCAGCCTAGCAATGTCTGGGTCAACTCCTTCCCGATTCTCTTTAATCCTAAAGTTGACATTGCTGGAATATTTAACATATGGCCCCACTAATGCTACTTCCAAGAAGTAAACCTCACTAGGCAGGTTAATTTCACCACAGACAACTACTGCATGTCAAACAATCTGAAATTCAAAAAACACAAGGTCAAAAACCCATGGAAAAGACAAAGTGATTATATCCTGAAGAGCTACAGACCTCCATTAGTTGGCCTTTCTTTAGATACACCTCACGCAGCCCTCGGCATCCAGGTAAGATCTTCTTGAATTCATCCAAGAGGAGTGCACTCCCTTCATACATAAGTGCATCACTGTCGTAGTGTGAAATGTTGGGTGCCCCGTCTTGGAATCGTATCTTTGCGACGTAGTTGACCAATTTGACTGATCCATCACTTGCAATGGTTCTCACAGTCACCTCAAAGGCTCTCCTCATGCTGCCTTGTCCGACAATTTTTGTCGGGGTGAACTTGGAGAGTGATTGGCATTACATCAGCCTCCAGCCAATTGAACTTGTTTTTGGAATAGATGTCAAACCCTGGTTCAGTATTCTGAATCTTGAATATTAAACGATGTGCATTGGTCCAGCCTTTTCAGCCTTTTGTATTGATGGCTATTGACAGTGGAACCAATCGACCAAGATAGCCTATTTGGGTGGAGAGACTTGCAGCACCACGGGCAGGGACGGTACCTGAGGTGATTTGGGTTTGTCAACAAATCTACACCACTCGGGATAACAACAAAAGCAGATTTGTGGACTTACAAGCAACACCACTGGAGGCCCATGTGTCCGGTTTATTATGTGCCACACCTTTTCTGGGTCGAACTCAATTGGGCGCCAAATTGTGAGTAATTGCTCTTGAAGTGGGAATCTTGGATGTTATTTCATCAGGATCATCGGATGCAGCTGGGAAAATTGTTGCAGTTAGTACATGAACATTTATTTGAAGAAGTTAGATTGGTTAAAATGAAAGATGGGATCTTACATGTCCTTTGACCACAGGGCCTCACATTCGATTCATTTAGCACTGCTAACTTCCGGGGTTGTGGCTTTGATCAAGTAGTCTTGGATCTAGGTACTTCAGTTTCATGGGAGGGATATTCCTGCAATTCTTGGTCAGACGACATTGCTGTGTTTTTGGATTTGGCGACCAATTGTGTTGGCAACGTGGATTGATCAGAATCAGATGATTCATAATTGGATGGAATCTTTTGCAATTTTGTTTGGGAGGAGGTCTTCTTTCTTGGTTGGACTTCACTCATCTCTGAATCGTCATCTTCTAAATCGGACAGAATCTTTTGTGATTTCAGCCGGGCGGAGGTCTTCTTTCTTGCTAGGAATTCACTAATCTCTGAATCGCCATCTTCTAAATCAGATGGAATCTTTTGTGATTTTGTTTGGGAGGAGGTCTTCTTTCTTGTTTGGACTTCACTAATCTCCAAATTGTCATCTTCTAAATCAGATGGAATCTTTTGCAATTTTGTTTGGGCAGAGGTCTTCTTTCTTGTTTGGACTTCAGTAATCTCCAAATTGCCATCTTCTATTGGATCAGTTTTCTTTTCCTTTGAGCGATATTGGTACGCTAAGTCGACTTGCACTGGCTTCTTGTCAGTGGACTTGTGGACAACAAATAGTAAGGCGTCTAAATCGGTCAGGTGACTCTTTCCATGGAGGAGGCTAAGATTTTGTTCAACGTCCCGAGGAAGTTGTTCCAGAGAAATGCATTCAAGGATCTCCGGAGTAAATTTGACCAAGAGCTGTCGTTTTAGTTCTTCAAAGAGATTGGGATTCTTGATATTCACTGTTTGTTTGATGTTGAATAGCAAAGGATCATTAGCCGGTTTTTTTCCTTTGTATAAGACCAATCCACAGTCAATGAGTCGGAGTTTGGGTGATGGAGAATACTTTGTTTCCTTTGGAACCGCTGGGATTGGTTTCTTCTTGGGGTAGGGAGCTGCTCTGGGTTTTTTCCGTTTGGCGGTGATAGCACTCCGGAAATATTCTTGTGATTTGGGTTCTGATCGGCTGGAGCTGGAGGTGGCTGGCTGGGGTCTGTTTGATCTGGAGGAGGTTTTCTTCTTGGGACTGGTGTGCTGACGAGAGGTGAGATGGGTATCAAAGCTGTTTGAAGGTAAAGTGCTCAAGGAAGCTTCAACAGCTTCACGGCGCATGCCTGATGAATCTATGCATCTACGGCACCAGCCACCAAAAGCTGGCCGGCTGGTTCACCTTTGGCACTTAGAGCAGGTAGCCATGATGCTGAGGGAAGACAAGTGGGGTCCAGTTCCCTCTTGATATAGGGAAAAAACTCCAAAAAATGTACAAATTTTTTCATCATAGCATGTGGGCAACATGTACCATTTTTTTGTACATGCAAATGTGTATGAAACAAGCTAAAATACAGCCAGGCAATGTGAAACAAACATGTCAAGTGTTGTACAGTAGGTTGCGTGATTTTTTGGTGTTTTGGCGCGATTTCAGGTTGGCGCAAATGTTGGCCCCTACGGGCTTCCATACTTTTGACCATCTACATAGGCTTTAAGTTTATGTGTATGGGCTTAGGCTGACATATAGCCATATAAGTATGGGTTTATCGTGTCAGCCTATCCCATACTTATGTACTTAGGCCCCCATATTTGGCCTGTGACTGAATGGTCCGGTGAAAAAGAGATTTATTTTTTTTGGCTGGACCAAATTGGTTGCCGTTTTAGATTTGGAATCTACATACACACCTTGTAGACTCCAAATATGTATTCTTTACAGGTGCTGGACCCCCGTTGGGGGTGAGGATTAACCCCGCGCAACCTAATCAACATTTGCGGGTGGCCTTGTACAGTACAATGCCACGCGCCACTGTACACATGAAAACAACTGTGTTTGATGCATTGTTCAAATGGAAATGTTGAAATATCACCTGTCTGACTCTGTGACTTTCAATGAACAACCTCAACTTGAAACTCAAATCTAACAACCAATACCAACACACTCTGAACTTTGACCCAATCTTTCTCTCCTATTCTCCATCTTTTCCCAGACATCTTCCTTCATCTCAACAATTCCCCTTCTTCTCACCATCTTAGTTAATCAAGGCTCTGTGATTCTGTATGTATACATTATCTTGGTTTATTTGGATCCATGTAGGAGCAAACTATTTTGCAGTCATATTAATGGTGTGAAAACGTATGATTACTAATGTATTATTCATCAATACCAAAACCAAAAAAAAGCATATGAAGAATTTTCATTCTTATTTTCTTCTTTGTGAAGAAAGAAGGGATAAAAAAAAAGATGAGGATGACAGAGAGAGAGAGAGAGATGATAAGATACAAAGAAGAATCAGAAGTAAGAAGAAGATTCAAACGATCGATCGAGCAAGAGTAAAGATGAATTGAGAGAAGAGAGCCGATGAAGGATATCAGAAGCAATAGAGAGGAAATGGGGGCCATTGGCGAGCAAGATTCGGGTCTCTTTTTCGACGATACCGATGGGTATCTTTTGACTGTCACCATCGGACGTAGTAGGAGTAGTATCAGGCATCTCTAGATCAGAAGAGGGGGGAATAGTACCGGAGATGAGTCTAGCCAATTGAATCAGACGGGTTGATGTTTTGGAGGGGCCGGGATGAGAAGAGTCGATGGGATCAGTGGAAGCAGGCGGCGGAAGGAGATCATGTAAGACGTCAATGATTCTCCATTCCTGCGGGGTATGATGGTCGAGTAGGGAATCGGAGGAGGAGGGGGTAGGGATCGCGAGGCCGGAGAGATTGTCGGAAGCTTTGACGAGCTCAGCGAGCGCGTCGGCGAGAGGGGAGAGGAGGTTTCGGAGGACGAGGAGGGCGACGAAGCCGATGCCGACGGCACCTCCGCCTCCCGCTCCCATGAGAGCATGGTCATGCAAATTGTACAACCCCGAGTTCGGCGGCTCCCAGCGCTCGTGGACATAGCTCCGGAACGGCAGACCCTCCGGCGTCGGCTCCGGCTTCCCCGCCCGTGCCCCGCCTCCCCGGCCCGGCCCCGGCATCGGCACATATTGCAGATGCGTCCGCACGTGCAGCAAAAGCGCGGCTCGGTTCGCCCCCTGGTACCCACAGCCCTGCCAATAACATTTGCTCGCCCGGCCCGTAATATGCGTCTTCTCCACGTGCCGGTATAGGACTTCTGGCCCCCCGCGTCCGATCTCTTCACTCTCCTCTTCTGTTGCATTCTTCGCACATTCTTTCCAATGACACTTCCATATCTTAGCATCTGTATACATACATATGTATAAACACGCGTCAATATCAATGAAAACATATTTTTTCAAAAAAAAAAAAAAAAAACACTTTTGGAGAGGACTCACGTTTTTTCGCTCGGACTCTCATCCCGGAGATGACAAATTTTTTCTCGCCTGATTTATGTTCAGTGACGCTCGGGAGAGCATTAGGGAAGACGTCGGAGGTGAGCTTGATAGCCTCAGCGGGGGCGATCATTTGGACGCCTTGGCCGAAGTGGGAAGGGTTTTGGAAGGCTTCGAACTGAGTTTTGTACGCGAGCCAGAGGGTGACCTGTTGGACTTCGCCGCCCGGAAACGGCTCGAAGACCCGGGACATCCATTGTCGCGCCCGATTAGGCTCGGTGAGGTTCACGATATCCTTCAGTTGGGTCTCAGGTAGTAAGATCTGATGGACCTCTGACATCGTCAACGTCTGCGGCGCCGCCCTGACTCCCGGACTCTTGTTGAGGTTGTTTCCATAGACCGAGAGAACCACTTCTTCCGGGATAGGCTCCGGACATGGCGCCCGTTGGAAGTACCATTTCTGCTCCGGTACCGACAGCTGTTCCGCCGGCAGCCTTTCCAGTCGACTGTTGTGATGGACATGAACTAACAGCAACTTGATGATCGCAAGGATATCCGGGTGCAGACAGAATATCGATAGACCGATCGCGCTGGTCGAGGTGAGTGTGTACAGGTAATCAAGCACCACCATCAACATTTCCACGTCCGGTAGAGCCAACAGGATCAGCGCGCGTTCGATCGCTTTGGGCCATGGGGTTGGGTCCGATCGCGCGGGATCTGTGCGGTAGAGTTCGGCGGTGAGAACCGTCTGATTGGCCGTCAATGAACCGATGGCCGTGAAGCATCGATAAGCAGCAATAACGAGGGCGCGATCGCAGGACTGTGTGAGTTGGTCGAGTTGGGCGATTAGCTCGGTTTGCCAATCGGGCGAGATCTGGTCTTCGTCACGACGCGTTTCAGGAGGCTGGGAGGGCCGGAAAGAATGGTGGATGTTCTGGGGTGGATGGAGGGGACGAAGGAGGGGCTGGTCGAGTCGTACGAGGTTATGTGCGGCCAGACTGTCCAGAATGTCGAGGAGGAGGGCGAGGAATTCGTGGTCAGAGTCTGACTGAGCATCACGGAAACCCTTGAGGATCAGTGGTAGCAATCGGGGATGATTTGAGGCGATACTGGATAGGTTAGAGTCAAGAGAGAGCAAGTTTCGGACGACCAGAGTGGCTTCGAGGGCGCGTCTTCGGACGGCTGTTTGGAACGGGTCCTCGAACATTCCCGGTGTGTTGTAGAGCTCGATGAGGTCGAGTAGGGCGTCGATCAGCCCGGGGAATCGGGGGAGGGGAATCAGATCGGGTTCATAGAATGAGCCTGCTATCAGTACTTCGAGTGCGTAGTCGGTATCCTCTGGGATTGTGGATTTGATCGAGAGTAGAATCCGGTTCTGTGGGCCAGGTTGTTCGAGGTAGTGTGGTTTTCCATCGAGTATCAGGCTTAGTCTTTGAAAACCAGTGAGAAGGGGAGGTGGTTTGGTTGGAGAGAGATGTACGATGGGCTGTTGATGGATGGGTAGTTGGTGGTATGGAGTGGTATGGTTCTGTTTCCTCGATGGAGTAGGTGGCGCTGTTATTGTCGCTCCGGTCGTCGTTGCAGTAGTTGTTGTTGTTGGTTGGGTTTGGTTCCTTGTTGACCGTCTGTTGGGTCTGGTGTTTCTTGACTGTTGTTGTTGGTTTGAGGTTGAAGCCATCTTACTTGGAGGGAAGGGCAGAGTGGCCGAGAAGAGTTAAGTGTGTATCAATGCAAAGGAGGAAGAGGAACGAAAAATTAAATAGTAGAGAGAGGAAAAACTATCGATCGAGAAAACCATGTCAGAAACCAAAGGAAAAAAACCCACAAAGGAGATTATGTAATCTAGCAAGCCCAGAAAAGGGGTCCTCTTCTATTAATACAGGTTCACTGGAAGACTGAGATGGAGCATATTGTCATTAAGATGGGATCGATGCCACTGAAGACCAAGTTTACAAAAATGCACCTCAGCCTGAAGGCTCAAGTACTACTGCAAGATGCTAACGTGTCCCAGCTACTGGGAAGACGTCATTTTAGTTTGTCTGCGCTAGATTACTCAGTATAAAAAAAGCTACGAGACCTCAGGCTTCAGTCTGACGAAGAAAATATGTCTGCGTGCCTTAGGGAGACTCCGCTAGCCATCAGTAAACACTAATTATGCAGAGTTAGCCTGAGTTGAGACGGAATGTATACTTAGTCTAACTCAGCTCTGTCTGATTGAGCAGTCCGTAGCTTACTGGGAGCAGTACTCAGTTCAAGTTTGTAGGCTATAAGTAGCGTCCCATTCTCGCCAGTTTGGAAGACTTCATCCTCATCACTCGCCAAGTTTTTCCCAAAGCATCAACCTTTTTAGTGCATCTGATCGCCCAATTACAATATCCCACTTCTCGTCTTCTTCTTTACGTGGTGCCCTTTTAATAATTTAGATAATATTTAAAAGTTACCCTCCTAAACAAATTACCAAACCTTTACTATCTAATTCAACTTTCGTCGAACAACATAAATACTTAACATGTCAACAACCCGAGACTCGACTCCCTGCCCTTCGCCAAGAAACAACCGTCGCCAAAAGGGAAAAGCACCTGCGGAGAGAGCCGACCTGACCTTGGTCGCTTCGCCGACTCAACCCGATGTTGAGAAGGCTGGAACGAGTAAGGAGATCATCAACAGATTGGAGCAACGGCTGAGTGAATCTCAGGAGCTGCTCGAGAAGCTCAAGAAGATCCAAAATCCCCGGCAGTCGGCTCGAACTCAGCTGAAAGTCGTCTCTGGGTCCGTCCTTCAAACTCAACCAAAGATCTGGACAAGCCCTGCTTACAAGCGGCATTCTCGAATGAATGAGAACAAAATGGTAAGATATTGTAACGATACTTGTATTCGATTGTTATAAATACACTTGCTTTGCTTCATCAAAAGTGCCCTATATCTCAAATAAATGAACTTATTCCACCCCCTCCACCGTCCCCGCTATCCTTCAACAAAGCAACACTTCGAAGACAGGGCCAAGGACCAACGAGAGCGGCCCGAGTCGATAGGCTCATTCAACACGCCGTGCTCGACCCCAACCATCACTCCGTCCAACAACCCATCTGTTCATGAAGACGGAACAGAGCAAAGCGTGACGGATGACCAGGTTGATGTCATGTCGACAACCGCGACGATCGCCACGGTGCGGCCTACCCCCGAAGAGGAGGAGGCTAGGAGGCTGAGAGACGCCTTGTTGATGCCCAGAGTCCCTGCTCTGGATGCCGCAATTAATTCCTGGAGGAATAATATTGCATAGATGATGGTTGCTGTTTTGTGGGACTTGGATTCATGGTTGGTCCCATCGGTATCAGGGACTCTTTCTTTTTTCTTATTAGCACATTTAGACTTCCTTTTCATCCTCGTTTGAATACCTTTTACTTCGATTTTCATTTGGAAAATGTATCCCCTTTTTCAATTTATCACCCGTCATAATTCATGTCGACATTATCAAGTCGCTTTTTGTTTGTTTGTTGGATTCAAATAATAATCACATGAGGCCCATAGAATGAATGAATCTGTGATGGGGAGGGATGGTCTTGTCATATTTCAGACATCCATTTCCGCCTTGGGGAAAAGAGACGATGCGCAGATGGAAAGCTATCGTGGCTGCGATCTGCGGCAGACCGCTTGCTTTCAATGAAACGTCTTGACCGAAAACTCTCTTCTTTGTATCGGTCAAAGCTACTCGCCAGGTGACCGTTTACAATACGGATGTGTGTGGTATAAGAGAAAAAAATTGTTTTCCTTCTCCCCCATGTTCTCTTGAGAAAAGCAGACCTCTGGACTACATCGAGCACGAAACACCGCAAAGCAAATGTGATCGAAGGAAGACGAGGAAGAGTGAGATGGAGGATGGTGCGATTTCGACCGACCCTTTGAAGCCAGTACATGGCAGTCTCGATCAACTGAGTGGGATGGGTCCATAGGAAGAAGAAGAGGATGAGCGGAAACTGTAAGGTTTTCAGGCAAAGGATGAAGGAAGTCTGCTGGCTGGGAGGATCAAGAACGTGGGGAAAGAGTCGATACGATCAGAGGGGTGCGATTTTATATTCGCCGGTTAAGATAAGGCCTTGTCCTCCTTCGCGGTTTTTTCTGGACTGCTGATTTTATTCCTATTTCATGCTGATCCCTCAGGAGGCCAGAAGATCATTCAAGGACCCTACACAGTCTTGTGGACGTTCCTGACTAAGAAACCAATCTTCTTTGCCGCTAGAATTTCTTGACAAGTTCATCACAGAAGGTCCTCCAATTGAGCAAGCTTCCATGTACCATATTAGTCTGGCCTGGTAGTATGTTGGCTGGCTACCTTCAAGGAATTTTCCGGTGTTTAGAGCGGAATATCGCGCGTTCTTCGCCCGCTGACTAAGAGATTAGTCTAGCCTCCTAAAGATACATAACACTCAAACCAATGGGGAAGCCTTCTTCCTAAACAAAGTGTTAAGTGAGTCATTGAATATTCCATTTGTGAATGACAAATTTCACGATATAAAGACTGTAACTAAACACTATGCTAGCAATTTTATCAGTAAAGAAATCTTTGGAACTGCTTGTAGTTACTGTAATTTGAAGAACTCCTTGTGCCATGCATAAATCCAATCTGATCAGTTGCCTTGTAAAACCTACTGACCTGATAGCTCAAAATAACAAGTTGGAGAAACTCAACAAAATTTGGCCCTATAAAGTTGTATGAGCATTGAGACCTCCCTAGAAGCTATCCTTTCAGGTTCTAAAATGAATATGTATTGTCTCTGTTTTGACTATTTCTTGATAGGATAGGTTTATGGTGTTGCAAGCCCATCTGGGCACACACCAAAGTTTGACAAAAAAGGCCAAGCGCGCTGGGCCAATCTCCCAAAGCCCGCTTGGCCAATCCTAAAGGCTAAAGCGTGTGTGGTACCATCCCAACCCCTGCTTGGCACATGCTAAAATTGGCAAGGGTTGGGACAAAGCCTCACTTAGCCAATATCAAGTGAGGGTGCCACACCTGCCAAAATGCTGGTCATTGAGAAGGAATCACTTCTTGATGATTGGCTCACTACTCCGTCAATCACTCTCCTTGATGACCGGCACTGTACCAATCATCAAGGAGGAGAACCTGATTTTTCATGGCTGGTACATCAATTTGCCGGCCATCAAAGGGCAACAGGTATCTCCCATCCTTGGCAACTAGGTTTTTATGGGTCATCAAGAGGGAGTTGTATGATCCCTCTCAAAGGCCAGTCACACTAGTGACTAGTTGATGCCTGGCTTGTGCCCAGACGCACTTGCAAGACCATATATTCCACTATGGCATTGTTTTGAGTCACATAGGAATGGTGGTTACACTCAATGGTAAAGTTTTGACACCATTGGCATGTCTTCTCACCATTCCATCCAAGATTTCCTAGCACCAGGGATATGTTGAAACAAGACCTTTTTGAAAGCACTTCTTGTCAATATTTTTTGAATGTTGGGGAAATATCTGCTTTTAGTTAGTCATACTCTTACAGTTAGAAGTGTCTTACTCCACTACATATATACCAATAATTTCAAATCATGAAAGCAATAAAAAAATAAAAACCCTGTACAAATACACCCCAAGCTACTTGTCAGTATGGGGGCTTACACAACTTGGTAAGAAGGGTTAATAGGCAAAAGCCAGAGAGAAAAGAGTAAAATGAAGCAGAATGATCAAGAAAACCATGTCAAAGACTTAAAAACTCTACCCAGGGATCATTCACCCTTACATAATTCAACAAGCTCAGAAAAGGGGTCCTCTTCTGATACAGATCCAATGGACCATTAAGATGGTACTAATATGTACCATAGAGACTGAGACCACTAGTTTTTTCTTTTTTTAAAAAAAGAAGGTTATGTATATAATGGTGAACTGATTTGGATGTTTTGTTATCTCTTCAAGTTCAGTTCACCTGAAACATCAAACAGTTTTATTAAAAGCCATCTTTGCGTACTTGGCCCCAAAGTCTTGTAACAGACACTTGCGGATTCTGATTCTATCTGCCTTGAGGTAAAATTTTAAACAATTATTCTTTATTTGCTTGATCAAAAATATTTGTTTGAATGAGCAATACATGTATTCCTTCAGTTTCTCAATCTTATCACAAGGCGCAAATATGTCCCCGATTTTGGGGACTTAATTAGTTTGTCTGCGGTGTAGATTACTCTGTATTAAAAAGCTACGAGACCTCAGGCTTCAGTCTGACCAAGAAAATATGTCTGCGTGCCCTGGGGAGACTCCGTTTACCACCAGGAAACATTTACTAGAGTAGCCTGAGTTGAGATGAAATGTATACTCAGTCCAACTCAGCTCTGTCCGATTGAGCAGTCCGTAGCCTTCTGGGAGCAATACTCAGTTGAAGTTTGTAGGCTATAAGTAGTGTCCCATTCTCGCCTGTTTCGAAGCTTTCATCCTCATCACTCCACAGATTTTTTCAGATAATCCAACTTCCCAGTTCATCCAAGCTTCAAGATATAATTATATCCTACCTCCAAAGACCATCGTCGTCTTCTTCTTCTCAAAGTAGTGGCCTTTTAATAATTTGTATGATATTTAAAAGTTACCTTGCTACTCGCTGGAGAATAAAACTAATTACCAAACATTCTTTATCACTTCATTAAATTTTCTTCCAAGTACGATGTCAACAACCCGAGACTCAACACCCTGCCCCTCCCCAAGATACAACCGTCGCCAAAAAGGAAGAGCGCCTGCGGAGAGAGCCGACCTAAACTTGGTCGCTTCGCCGGGCCAACCCGATCTGGAACACGAAGCCAGCAAAGAAATCATCAGAAGATTGGAACAACGGTTGAATGAATCACAAGATTTGCTCGAGAAGTTGAAGAAGGTGCATAACACTCGTCAGCCGGCTCAAACCCAGTTGAAAGTCGTATCCGGGTCAGTCCTCCAGACTCAGCCCAGAATCTGGACAAGCCCTTCCTACAAGCGACATTCCCGGATGAACGAGAAGAAGATGGTAAGATATGTAACCGATATTTTTATTCGATTTCTACAATTGTGCTTCCTTTGCTTCATCAAAACTGCCCTATGTCTAAGAAATGAACTTTTTCCAACCCCGTCACTGTCCCCGCTATCCTTCAACACAGCAACACTTTGAAGACAGGGCCAAGGACCAACGAGAGCGGCCCGAGTCGATAGGCTCGTTCAGCACGCCGCGCTCGACCCCAACCATCACTCGGTCCATCAACCCATCTCTTCATGAAGATGGAGAGGAACAGAGTGTTACTAGTGATCAAGTCGATGTCATGTCAACAACGGCGACGATCGCCACTGTACAGCCTACCCCCGAGGACGAGGAGGCTAGGAGGCTAAGAGATTCGTTGATGATGCCCAGAATTCCTAGACTGGATGCCACAATTAATTCATGGAGAAAAAAGGTTGCATTGTAGATGGATGATTTTATTTGTTGAATTTTTGGATAGTTTCACATAAGGGACTCTCTTTGTTCATTAGCTCATTATTCCCTACTTTTTTCATTTGGAAAATTTAATTCTTACAATACATCACCTGTTATCAGTCATTTCAACATAAATATATTGTTTTTTGTTGAATTAGAATAATTATCACATAGAGCCTATGAAATTGAGCTGTGATGAGGGGGGAGGGGTCTTGTCATATTTCATACATCTTTTGACGACTTGATATTTTCTGTTTATCTCAAACGCTGTGTCATGGGGTTTTATTCATTTACAAAAAAATGAAAACTT